CTCTCTCTCTCTCTCTCTCTCTCTCTCTCTCTCTCTCTCTCTCTGTGAGTGAACATATATCTGAGTTCATGTGCATGTAGAGGCCAGAGGTCAATCTTAGGCATCTTCCTCTGTCTCTCTCCACCTTATTCTTTGAGGCAGGGTCTCTCACGGAGCCTGGAGCTTGTCTCTTCTGGCCTCTGCTTCACAGGAGCCTGATTTTGCTGTTTGCCTTTCAGCAAACCCTGACCTGCACTGTGTACCATGGGGTTTCCATCTCCCAAACCAAGGTCTGACACTAAAGGCTGAAGTGGAGCAAACTTGGTGAAAACTACAAAGGCAGGTTCAAATCTCAACCTTCACCTTTTTCCAGTTCCCTGACTTGGCCTGTCACTTTACAGACCCAAGACCCCCTTCCTTCAGCATAATGACAACATCAGGGCGGGAAGCCCCGCCATCCTGAGGTGGAGCAGATGCTTCAACGCCACTGTTTCTACATGACCCGAGTGCATGGCACACAAGGCTGGTAAGTCTCCATTACCACTGCCTGTGGTGTTCCTATGACTATCCAAGGACCTACTTAAAGAGGAACACCAAAGCCACAGGTGGAAGGTCAGAGGTCATATGTCATCTGTCATCTATTGGGCTGTCTTTGCCCCACAGCCAGTGACTATTTGGCAAATTTTCAGATGTGTTAATTCTGTCTCCCCACGGGGACTTCTTGTCTTTCCCGGGGATTATTTCCTCTGGCTTTTCCACTGGAGTTGCCAAAATGGATGAGACAGGTGGCCTCTGTGTGTGGCTTGTTGAAGAGATAGCATTGGGAGCTCACAACTGATGCCACTAGAATTTCTAGTGCCATTACCAGAAGCACTATTTTTGAGGACCAAACAGTGACAGGTAAATTGGACAGCTCAAATTCCCTTCGTTTAAAAGGAAAGCATAGACATGAGAGGCGGCTTACCAAAAGCACCAGACCCAAATGCAAAAGCAATCACACACCCCCAACACGGGCAAGATGCCTGGTCCTCATTTCAACCTGCTGGAATGTAGAGTCAACCCGGGAGGCAGAGCCTCTGGGGGTGCCGTTAAGAGTGTTTCCAGATGGGTTCAGCTGAATGTGGTGGCACTATCCCAAGGACTATGAATCCAGACATCATCATCATCAATAATAATGATGATAATAATAAATATAAAATATAATATAAGAGAACTAAGTGTCAGCTCTTATCTGACACACACACTAAATTACTCTCTGGATAAGACTGCTTCCTGACTGGGTGTCATGTGACCAGCTGCCTCAGTCTCCTGCCACTATGCCTCCCCACAGTGATAGACTAGACCATCAGACACTAAGCTAAAATAAACCCTTCTTGTCGTTAAAAAAAATTCTAGAGACAATATTCCAAAGAGACTACTGACTGCTCCCTAGTTCCTGTGTCGCACAGGAAAACTCACCATGTAATTGAGGGAAGTCACAAGACCCTTTTTTGTTGCTGGAAATTCCCAGTCACCCTAGTGCAGGCCCTGGTCAAACCCTAAGTACTTACTTTGGAGCTAAGAGTCCCTTCTACTATATTGGAGCACACCAAAAATCATCAAAAGGGATTAAAAAAAAAACTGCCTCTCAAAAGCTTACAAAGCAGTAGTGGACACAGGAAATGAGGTAGACAACTTCCTGGGCCCTCACCCCACTGCACTCAGATCCAAGATGGTGCTCTTCTTGTTCTACCTAGATCTCAGTGGGTCGCAAAGGAGGTGATGCTTTTTTCCTTATTTACATGTTTTAAAGCCAGATGTATCTTTGAGAGTAAGGTAGAAAATGGAAAATGAATGATAAAGCATGTGTTTGGGGTTGAGTGAGATATTACCAAGGAGTCATTGAGTCACATGACAAGTCCTGAGGACTAAGTAGCTCCGCTTGTGAGTGGAAAAGTGACATAAGTCTCCTTCCCCTGTACAAGAGGGGAATGACAACAGCATCTGTTCATTAGGACAGAAGTGACCAACACATTCGCTGTGAGTCAACACACACAAAGTGATCAGTCAACTACATGAGTGACTGAATTATTGTGTCTATAAATGCTGGCTATCTTATCTCTCTGCAATGTGTTGACTCAGTCCTCCTGGCCCAGAAGCAAGAATCCCCTTGAAAATCCCAAACAAAGTTCCTGACATAGTTATACTTCAACATGAAATGTCCCTCCAAAGTCCCCTCTGCTTGCTGTCAAAGCAGCTCCCCAAGACATAAACAGGTGCACAGGTTTACATCATGGGAAGTGTCTGGAAGTGTCTCTACTCAGCCTTCTTATTTTTATATGAGAAGAGGGTCCACAAGGTGTAGTGACTGTGCCCAAGTCTCCAGAGAGCGTGGCAAACAAGTACTACGAATGCCAGACTCCGATTCCCACAACATTTGTGTCAGAAAGACATCACAGGTTGGTTTCTTGGGATGAGAAGTTTTTCAGATCTCAGGGGACTTTTCTCCCCATTAGTTTGTGTGCGTGCGTGCGTGCGTGCGTGTGTGTGTTGGGGGGATATTTGAACATAATGACATATTTTGGGGATGAGACTCCAATTTAGATTTATGTTTTATATATACCTTGTGATAGCTATAACCTCAAGGCAAATTTATGTCAGATTTTCAAAAATTCAATGTGTGATACAAACTGCCACGATGTGAGTTTATAACATTGGGAGTTTTGGAGCATTTTTTAGGTTTTCAGGTTTTCGATTGCTCTAGCTGTATACTATGCTACCCTTTCTACACTAAATTACTCTCTGGATAAGACTGCTTCTTATAGGGTGGTGGTTGTGGTACATGCTTTCAATTCCACAACTCAGAAGGCAGAGGCAGGCAGAGCTCTGAGCTCAAGGCCAGCCTGGTCTATAGAGCCAGTTCCAGGACAGTCAGGGCTATACAGAAAAACCCTGACTCTAAAACCCATTTAAAAAAAGACTACTTCTTAAAAACACTTCCCCAGAGCTGAGCATGGTGTCACAAGTCTGTAATCCCAGCACCCAGGAAGCAAAAACAGGATGATTTGGAGTTCAGGGTCTGCTTGGGCTAGTTAGGGAGAAATTGTGTCAAGAAAACAAAAATAAAAACCAAACCAAAACAAAAGCTTCCTACAGGAAGTTCAAGGGTATGAGGAGTTGGCTCAGGAGACTTTTCAGGTACAGACATGAAACTGTGCCTTCCCTTTGAGTCATGCAGAACAAAGCCCCGGAGGTGGGAGAGGACACTAGAGGGAACTGAGCTCTGTGACTGGAGGTTAAGAATCATTTGGAGCCCAAGGACAGACACTCAAGTTACCTCACTGATGAGCTGTCCAGCCTTCTTGGCTTGTTCTAGATTGAGACTCCCCTCCGTCAGCCACCCGACCCCTTTCATCCATGCCAGGTCAGCTTTGTACTGCAGCTGCAAGAGAAGTGTCACCAAGCTCTTAACTGACACACACAGAGACATGACTGTGTTGAGGGGGAAGTCAGGAAAACCCAGAAAACTGCTTCCCATTATCCTCAGCAGGTCTTTCTTTGGGGGGCAAAGCCACTGGGCCCCTATTGTGATTGAGCTGGGATTCTACCTTAGTGTTGAAACACTTTGGATGACCAAGAATAGTGTCTCCTATTGTTTGACCAACATTTCCAACATGTTTCTCCTGGGCTCATGTTTCCATTACATCCTGACTTTCACACGGGCTCTGAGCCCAGTCCCATCCTGAGTCTCCACTATCTTGACTCACTCTTTCTCTCATCTGTCTTCCCTGGACCTGGAGCAGCTCTAGTTCTTCCTAGTTCTCTGTGTTACACAATGGACTCGCAGACAGGGTCAAATCACTCTAAGGGGGCATCTAATGGCAAGGCACATGGGTGGAGCCCGAGTCTGGTTGACACTCACCTCACTCTGGAGCCCGTGGGCTCTCTTGGCCCACTGGGTCTTCATATCCTCAGGCAGCACGGTGTATTCGTGCAGTTTCTTTCTATAGTCGAGGTCGCTAGCGAGAGCCTGCGCCTTTTTAGCATGCCTGAGGTTCACCATGTCCATGGGCAGGTGAAAGTGGCTCTTACTCTCTTCAAACCCTTTCTTATATTCAACCTTGAAATGCAACAAACAAGTCTCATTGGTTAAAGGCTATTTTTGCAGGGGTTACGTCGAAAGTGTGGGAGAGACTCTCAGGCTCTCAGAAATTCTGCATTCTGCGTGAGACCACCTGTTAGAAAGGTGGCCCCAAGTCAGTGTCACCAAGGTCATACTGTCACTGCTTCCTGCCCCCTGGTCTCTAGGATTGTTTTACCAAACCTCACCCTGTGCACGACTGTCTCGGGAGAGGACACCATGTATGCTTTCCGCTGAGGTTTTCAGAGGCAAAACAACACAGCCTGGGCTACAGAGCCAAACAAACCTAACTCAAACATGACCTGCCCTTGGCCAGCTGGGCAGCCTCTAGAAGGTTAAATCACCCTGCTTAGGGCTCATTTTACTTAAAGGAAGCTGTTGCAATGAATATTAACATAGAGGCAGCAAGGTGCTTAGCACAGGGACCACCACAAGCAGGCAGCACACACTGATGATGAGAATGCAATGATGATGGTAAGGATGATGGATGCCAACAGTGGTACCCAGGGAAGCCATGGTGATGGCTGATGGTGGTGGTGATGTTGCAGCTAGCAGTGATGATGGGGGTGACACCGGTTATACGGTGAGGAAAAACAGAGTAAGGAGTGTGATGCAAGGTAGTAAGAGATCTGGGGTCTAGCTCTCTACTCTCGTATCACTGTCATTAACCATTGGATTACAGCTACTCAAATATAACAATTTGTTGTCCGTTTACAACAAAGCTCAGTTCTAACTCTTACTACCTCTTTTTGCTGTACGAGCGTGCACTTCACAAGCCATGTCCTGTGACGTGTCTAAATGGGTGACTTTGATGCCAACACCCTTACTTCACTCCATCCCTGGTCTCCTAATGGCCTGTCAGTCAATTATGTTTGGCTGCTGAGCAGAGCTGCATGGCTTCACGGCTTGCCTAGGAAGGGATGAATCGGGAACTCCAGACTCATGTGACCGTTGAGAACGGTTTGACTGGGTGGAAGACATGGCTGAAAACCATAATTGTCTCCAGTAGCATTCTCCTTTCCCAGCGGCTCTGCAGCCAACCTACCATGCCCTTTCGTAGGTGACATTACCAATGTCAATCTCCAGTTGTTTACAGACAACAACATTCAAGTTGCTTGGAGCCTGGGATGCCCCATCGGCCTGGCAAACACTTGAACACTATGCTTGTGAGCACAGGTTTCACTCAGAACACCATCATAATGACTATTGTCTAGCCCCCTGCTATGGTTAGATATGATATGGTTAGATATGATATGGTTAGATATGATTTGCCCCCACTGCAAGTTACATTGAGGTTTAATTCCTCAACAGTAGGTGGGGGGGGAGGGGTCAGGCAGAAGTGTTCATTTCTTGGGGCAGATAATGTGTCCTCATGAACACATTATCATCACTGCCTCCTGTGAGGCTGGATTCATTACCATGAGAAGAAGTTGTTATTAATATAAGCAAGGCCCACCCTGAATTCTGTCTCTGTTACATACATTTATTCCCCTTCACATTTTTTCGTTCTGTGCAACACAAGGCCCTTACTAGATGAAGCCACACACCCTTGGACTTTCTGGCCTCCAGAATTACGTGACAAAGCAAAGCTCTTCCTTCTTCAAGTGTCATCTCTGTCATTCTGTCTTAACAGCAGAACAATGGACTAAAACACTTTCCCATCTGTGCTAAGTTGGGGGGGGGCAGAATTTGGGAGCTTTTCATTCTCATAGCTCCAGGGTCTCTTGCAGTATTTTACCCACAGTAACTGCTTGGCAAATAGCCAGAATTACGTGACAAAGCAAAGCTCTTCCTTCTTCAAGTGTCATCTCTATCATTCTGTCTTAACAGCAGAACAATGGACTAAAACACTCTCCCATCTGCTAAGTTGGGGGGGGGCAGAACTTGTGAGCTTTTCATTCTCATAGCTCCAGGGTCTCTTGCAGTATTTTACCCATAGTAACTGCTCGGCAAATATCTGTGGCATAATAGATGTGTTCAAGCACCTATGTGCCTTGATCAGGAGATGCTGTCATCCTCAGGGCCATACACCTCACACACTTTAAAGAACACCATGCTTTGGCAAAATAAAGAAAGTGAGCAAGTTCCTCATGTAAGCCCAGAAAGAAAAGCATTGTGGGTGCAAATCAAGACAAAGGAAGAGATGCCCAGGAGCACAACTGTCAGTTTGGAGCCTGGGTGGGGGCTGGGGGAGTTTACCTCACTGCTCATCTTGGCCACCTGAAGAGAATGCAGAAGTTTAGAGTCAGTGGTTCCCAGGGCTCTGCCTTTTGTTTTTTCATAGTCTTCTTTGTATTTAATCTTGAGAGGAAGAAGAAAGTCTAGTGTGAACAAGAGAGTAACAGCCATAGAAGGGGCTCTGACTGTAACGAGTTCGAAGAGAACAATTCTGGTGGGAAGGCCCCCCATCTTTCTCAAACCCAGAGAAGATTAAAGTATTGTGATGTTTGCAATGTTAACAGTCATTATTTTTCCAGTAGGCAGCTCGCATAGCATCGGAGCCATTCCTTATACATCTCCAAGTTAACGAGAGGAACCCACATTGCTAGCAAGCTCCCCCGAGGCTTTGGCGGCCAACAGAGACATGGCATCCATCTTCATTTCAAACCCTCTCCCCTTTGTCTTCTGCCAGCCTTCTTTGTACTTCACCTGACAAATAAAAACACAGGTGAGTGGCAGCCGCTGCCCCCACCCCCACCCCCATCCCCGGTCTGTCTGTCAGAAGTTGAAAGTTTTTTTTCTTCTTCTTCTTTAAAGCAAACTTGGTTTCCTCCATTGTTGGTGGGCAGGAGAGTCTTGTCTGGTATTGTCAAGACTGTCACAGTAATCTTTAACACAGTTCACTGATCCTTGGTGCCACTCTCATGGGACAGGTCAAAGAAAGGATTCCCCCCCCCATTGCCTGGTCCTGTGACTTTGGGCAATTACCTCTGGGGGCTAACAAATTGCAAAATGGGTATTCTCATTCTCTGGGCAGCTGGAAAGGTAAGTTGGGGATGGAGCATTTAGACAAACCCTAAACTGGTGATGCTCTGCCAAGAGGCAAGGGATTGATGTTGCCTGGTAACACTACGTGTGTGGTCCCTTCCTCAATACTTTGTAGGCACTAACTACAAATCTTCACACAAGCCGAAAGTGCAGGAAGTTGAAGATATTTGCTAGGGTCACACACATAAAAAGAGCCCAATGTGATTTCTGAATCTATTCATCTCATATTAAAACCCATGCTACCAAGGGGGAGGAGTTATGCTAATGCCACACTGTATCATGTAAGACCACATCTTTGTCACTGTATATCCTCTGCCTCAACATAGAGCACTCTTGCAAACAGCATCCGTCCCTGATTTTAATTCTGCCCCACAAATCCCATCTAGACTAGTGGCTTAATTATAGCCTCCCCGTAACTCCCTGTGTCTTTGTTGATCAAATCAAGATTTTTCTGGAAACTTAAAATCCCTCCACACAGTCACCAG